TACGCGGGCGCTCCTTTTTCGAATCGATGCGCCGTGTCGAAACTATAACAGCCAGCGGTATGCGGTCATGCTAAGCTGAATTTAAAGCGATTTGGTTCCCTCGTCCTCGGTATGCAATTCAACAAGCCGTAGTACGGATAAAAACGTCGATGCAGTTTATTGAATGTCACTAATTATCTTTGAGAAGACCCGGACGGCGCTGCATGCTATCTTATCTTAATGCGCGTGCTTCAGATAGCGAAAAGTTATCAAGGTGACAGCTGGGCACTGACGTCCAATGTGTGTTTACGAGGGTGTAATGCACTTCTCGCCAAGTGCATAGCTTGGCGTTTCGCAAGGCGCGCGAGTTGGAGTGTGTCTGAGCGTGTGTCGAAATAATCAAGTCGCGCATTAAGAGATCGTTAAAAGGTGCACACGCACGGCCTGGCTAATGATGAAACCGCTGCTCGGCGCGTCTCCTCGCCTCTCTCCTCGTCGAGAGGAAAAACAGAGAAATGGCCTCTTCGATTGATACAACGACGAAGAAGTAGTGCGCGCGTTTTCGCCGCCTCGGTATATACAAGCTCATCGCGGATAGCAGCCGGGGCACCTGTGGCAGTCACGACGATAAGGCTCTGTTCGCGGACGTTCTCCAATCGATAGCTGCGCGACGGATTTGTCCGCAGCCTCGATCCTGTCCCACCGTCGGCGCCGACTTCCGCGAATGCACCACGATTTGAAATCTCACGCGCAAGCAACTCTAACGATCGGCATTCTTTTTTTTTTCTCCAAACGAGCCTGGTATTATAAGAATGCGAGCGCGCGGATATACTAATGGACTACTAATTAATAGCTCGCTCTCCCTCCCTCTCTCTCTCTCTCTCAGCTCCGGTCTTGCGCGCTTGCGTCCCGTTAATCGTCGTGTTAATCGCAACGCTTCTTCAAAGCTTACGGTATAACATATCTTATATGCAACGCGGGTCAACTAACTCCAGACACTTTTATGCGAGATTACTTTTTTTTTCCGAAAGAGCGGCTGGCTACGTAATGTCGAATATTTTTGTGGTCGCTGCCGTTCAACCAAGTCTTATGCGTGCGGGCGAAGAACTTAAACGCGTTATTGCTGCGCGCCGCTTATTCTTCAATTATAACTGTCGATTGGCGCCACGTCTAGAAGCTCTCGACGTCGTCCGAAAAATCGCGCCCCTCTATCGTATAGCGCGCATAGCGCGCGCTTGGAAAATCCTAATTCGCGACGTTTCGAGCATTCATAACTTCCTCGTCATTCCTCGTGCCCACCAAAAAGATCGGATCTATGCAAATTACACGTGCGGCTGCGGTTGAAACTATTCCGCGAGCGCTTCGCGTAATGCAACGTCGCGCGCGCCCTGCTGACGGGACCCGAGTGGGCTTTTTCCTCTCTCTCTCTCTCTCTCTCTCTCTCTCTCTCTCTCTCTCTCTTTATTTTCACTCGCGTCGGCATTCGAGGAAGGATTGCTTGCGAGCAAATTAGCAACGATGAAAAATGCCGTATTAGCCAAATTTTCAACGCGTACGATTATGTAACGAAGAAAAATCATCAGTGATGAATGTCCGGGGAAGAAACGAATTTTTAATCGATTCCAAACCAGCTTAATTAAAATAAAAAAGCCAGACTAAAGGCATAATCTACCGCGGCGCCAACTTTTCCATGTGGTTGCGGAAAGAATGGATCTGATTTGAGAAGGTTAGCGATTATCACTGATATTTAATTAATCGTTCTAAGGAATCATTGCAAATAAACGATTTCGTGTTAAAATAAAAATCGATGGGTTGGGTCATCTAGGCGCTCAGACGGGCGATAAGAATATAAACATTGATACCAAATACGCCGACGAGATTTTTATTTGTCCAAAAAAAAAAACACGAGTGCTTACGATATGATACCAAGATTAGATATTGAAAAAATTACTTTGCAATATCTAATCGTTGAAAAACTATGGACGAAAAAAGTAACGAAATAAAAACGAATACCGCGTAAAGAATTGCAAATGTAAAGTACCCGAAGGGATTCTTCGAAGCGTTATAAAGCATTATCGTAATCTAATCTTCGGTTTTTAACACATGTGAATGATCGTCTAATCGTTCGACTCTCATCCACGCCCAGTTTTGCCAGGAACAATCGACTTGTACGAAAACTGATTGACTTGCAATCTTGATTAATCCTTTCTCTTCGTCTAATCAGACGTAAATGAAATTGAAAACGAAGATTTCGATTTATTTTGGCGTTGCGTCACAGCGCGCACTGAGACAACAGCGCAGAAGCCTCTGTAAACTTTGATAAAGCTCGTTCTATTTGCCAATTGTGCACCAATGATTTGTGCACCAGTCTCGAACGAGCTCGTAAATCATACGTGTCGGTTTTCACATCGCGAACGGAAAACGCGATAATTCCATTTTTCTTTTTCTCCGTGCGCGACAAATTATCGGACATACGTCTCTCGTGCAATTGCCAACTAAAGTTGATCCTCGTCCAAGAATGCAAGTCGTATATTTAATCTGACGCGTGAAAACTAAAGAAAACCAATGACGAACGCAAAGCTAAATGAGAACGTGCACGTAAATCGTGTATCCGAATATCGAGGAACACGGAAGGAGGAAAGAAACAATAGTATAACGACGATGGGAAGATATACGTAAGAAGTCAAATTTAAAATTTGGTATTCACAGTACGTTAAGGATATGCGCTCTTTTTGAAATGACATGTATACCGAGACGGTTGATGATTTTTTCCTTCATCTACTTAAAAGACAATGTATACAAGTTCCTTTTTGCATAAGAGATGAGCAGACGATTGTGTTGCGAGAGTTATTAGTATAGGATTTATGCGCGGGATTGCATATTGTGCTCGGATGACATTTTTGCGTCGAGGTCTGCCGATAATAGCAATTATGAAAATGGTGATCGTTATGAAATTGATGGCTTTGCTAATGGCGTTGTGTAAAATGTCTATTAAGCGTGGAAAGTAGCGAGTGTTTTCTTCATACTCAATTATGCATGAAGGCATTTTTTTTTCTTCTCGTTGCGCGCAAAGCTTAGGACATTCTTACCTATTCTTTGAAATAAAATGTATCTCATTTTGACCGTGATCCAGTCCTGATTCTCAGAACTGTTCTGACATTACGAAATGTCGCAGTGATTTTAAAAAATGTCGACCAAACGTGAATTCGCTCGAAGAACATAAGTCATATGTAGGCGTGCGTTTGCATTCATAGCGCGGAACGAAATCTAAATTTCTCCTCTCGTCCGACGCTGCGCGAGCGTTTCGAAACCTGCCATTCGGATTCTGATATCCGTATCGCATTATGCTCGAGTCGGAAATCCCCGAACGTCCGACAAATGTCGCTTCTCATTCTCGCAGGCAAATAATCTACGCAAACCCAGTTCTTGTCGGGTAAATCGTGCGAGAAAGTTTCCGAAGCTCTGCGCTTACGCTTTTTCGTTGATAAAGACGCATTGTTTTGTCGGCGATCGCCAAAAAATGATATGCGAAATGCCACGGCGAGGACACATTTTTTTGGCATAATCTGCCTTTCGACGGGCCGCCAGAAACCGATACATTGAATTTTGTTTCATTTGATCGAGATCGATTATCGTTCATACGTCTCCTTTCTCTTCGTATTGTTTGTCAACGAACATTGACATGCAACGACTTCCCTACTGATCTCTTAGTAGCATTTGTTCATTACTATAATTGTCACGAGTGCTGATAAATAATTAATATTCAAAAAATATATCATAAGAAAATATATTCTCACGACGGTTCTCCTTTCTTTCTTTTTTCGCTTGAAAGTATTATCGTATCACACGCGTAATAATTTACAACTCGTCAATATATTTTATCATTCTTTTGGCAATGAGCGTCTCCTTTCGATGAATGATTTTTCTCGTTTGCCATTTGACAACCGTCCGGACATTTTACCTCGATCCATCTTTACGTAAACTTAAAAATAATATCTTATATGCTCAAAGTCTTTTAAATTGTCATCAATCTTGTGATTACGTAACTTGATCATTTCTTCGCTTTTTCAAAAATTACACGCAAAAACAGAGCCGCGACGCAACGAAACAATGACAGCTCGAATTAACCGTCGATTTTGCGCGCAAAACAAAAATAAGAGGGAAGAGCGAGCGGTTAAATAGTCAAATTAAAAGAGAAACTCGTGCATTAGCTTATATGCCTTCGAGCGGTCACTTAACTCTGTTTTTTTTTTATATCGCAACAAGGAAGGCACGAAAGAGAGCGCGCGGGTGGCGCATGCACTTGTTCAACTCGACTTCTCTCTTTCTCTCGTCCATTGCACAATTAAGCAAGCAGTTAGCTGCCAGCTAGCGGCGCTTTTGCATAGTTGCACCGGCCCCTTATTGCGTAAAGGAAAAGCGCTTCCGATTGGCGTTTTAATGCACCTTGCGCAAAAAGTGCAATTTCAATTTATTCAAAATGAAGAAAAAATAAGAGGAAGCCTTTTGATCGAATCGATATTCAGCGAAATGTGGATGTAACGATGCGTCAGTCAAAACTTTTGATAACGATTGAGGAACTTGAATGGTTGGTAGAAAGCAAATGTTTTGACGCGAATAAGGAAATACCCGTATCTGGCGCCTGCTCTCCTTGTTTTATCGATAAATCTTGGGATATTTTTGGCCCGAGTCGAATCTTCCTTTATTCGTATTGACGGCACTTTCAATGGAAAAGAAAAATGACGAAATAATTACGTCGAATTTAGATATACATGCTCAATTGAAACTGCGTGTAGATAACAGAGTCGTCGATAAATTTTATTGCGTCTTTTCGTGTATCTGTGGAAAAAAATAGAATGACGCTAACGGTACGTTTCATTGAAATTTCCTTCAAAATTTCATTGAAAGATTCCTTCAAAACGATATTTTTCACGAGAATCCATCGTTCTTTGCCCACGGCCAATCAATAATTAATTGAGAATCATAATGACCGTATGCTCGTTTATTTTTTATTGTTTCAGAGCCGTAGTGCATCGACGGCGTTACGCCTTCGAAGATGACTTTCTAGCGTCAGCGACGACAAGGGCATCGAAGAACATTGCACGAAGACGTTGGAAAATCTGGAAGCAGTTCCGGCGTGATCAAAACAGCAATAAAGGCCCAGAAGAGCTGGTGTAGCTAGCCCCGCGCACATCGGGTGGGAGGTGGGGTGCGCGCGCGCGCGCGCGAGAGAGAGAGAGAGAGACCGGTGGGGAGATATATACACCAAGGCACTGGAAGCTCCAAAGCGATTAATAACAGTAGTCGCCTCGCGAGCGTAGCATCGCCGAGCAGTATTATTCGCGACACACGCGCGCGCGCGCGCAATGTGCAGCAGTGCAGATAGCTTGTACAAGTGAGCCGAGTGTCACGAGAAGAAGCAGCCGAGCATTATTGCTGTTTCATTGCTGGAGCGAGGGCGAACGAAACAAAGCGAGCATGAAGTCGTTGGGCGATGTAGTGGCGGAAGTGCCGAAAGAAGACGAAAGTAACGACGTGCCGGACGACATTGGTATCGTGAGACGTGGTAGCTTGGATTCGATAGTCAGTCATTCGTCCACGACAACGTCGTCGAGCATCCTCAGTGGGAGCTCCGAGTTAGGCACCAAGACTCTAAAGTCACTCAAGCGTGGATTGGGCAAATTGTGGAGGAGACACAGGGGCAATGCCTCCATTACTGAATACGATCCGTCCTACAAGGTGGCTTACCTTGGCAACGTGCTCACTGGTTGGGCGAAAGGTCAGTTTATGTGTTATGTCTTTTATTTTAGTTGAGTTTTTCTTTTGCGAAAGTTCCTGAATTGTACTTGTCTCAGTGTCAAAAATGCAATTAATTTGCGTACGTTGACATTTGGTTTTCAAAAGTTGGGGGTCAGATTTTATTATTCGGTGAGCTTAAATTTGAAAACCATATTTTTGACTGCATGCCCTTATTTATTTCTTAACAATTCCACCAGCAAATTAAAAAATTAAAATCTACAATGACCTTAAAAATTAAAAGATAAAAATGGCAGTGGAAGCATTGCTAGTGGGAAAGCCTTTCATGTGGCACAGTATGTTGTCAATGCAGTGTAACGGGGAATTCGGATTATTTGGGCGTTCTCCTTTAATAATCTTCTGCAAATAAGTAAAAACTATCAATCCATGATGCGACAGTTCGTTAAAATTCACATCGTTCAATACTTACACCGATTATTATTCTTTGGGATTTGACCAGGTTGGGGTACACGTCTTGATAGCGGATTATTTGTGTCGACTGTATTCATAAAAACCAACCGATTGATTTATATGATTTTACGAAAAATAAAAAATGTTTGAATACAAACTCACCGACAGAAAGTTGGCCAAGTTGAAGAACCGGTCTCAACTGAGGATTGTACGCTTTGGCTATGTTAAAAAATTTAATTATTAAGTTTATTTTCGAGGAAACTTAAATTTTATGCGAAACATTAAATTAAAGATTCAATTACTGCGTACCCAAAAGAAATTTGAAATATAAGACAGTAAAACTAAACCAACCTTGTGGGACTTCGTCGGGCTGGTGCGCCGGTCTCAATAAAGGCTTGTCCTGTTGAACTTTATAACGGAAATTAAACGTATTTTTGCGGCAATTCAGAAAATTGAAGTGATTGTTGAATAATTATGGAATATCCAAAAGATCCAAAAAAAAAACTAAACACACTACATTCCGTAGTCTAAGTAAAAGACCCTTGCGATTACTACGATGAATTAAGTGTAATTAAAAAAATTAATTATGAACACATTTCTAAAAGAATCTAATAATTAAACTCACCGTGTTCCGGAAGTTCGCCAGATTGATACACCGGTCTCAACAGTGGATTGTGTTGCTTAGCTATTTCAAACAAAATATACCTGTCAATCGATCTCCAACCAAAGCACGGTTTCAATTTCCACAACCAATTATTTTCACTTCATTACATGAAAAAAGCAAATAACTAACGGCAAGATAAATTACAGCATGTCCAATGTAAATCTTCAAAGTAACACGTTAAACTTACCATTAAGGTCGGGTACTTGACCTGGCTGGAAAGCGGCTCTGAGTAAAGGGTTGTTCTCTTTGACTTTGAATGGCTGGAATGCCGGACGTAGCAGAGCATTGACTTTCTTTGCGCTAGACGTCTGGTATTCGGGTCGGAGCAAAGGGTCTTCTTTTTCGCCTGTTTCAAGGAAACGAAGTTTTTTTTGCGTTAAGTAGCAGCTGATTTAAACGTACCTAGTATTGTTTTAGAATTATATGTTAACAAGAATAAGAAAACTTACCGAGATTTGCTAAAGTCAAGTGGTGAGCCGCAAGCAGCACGAGAAACAAAATAATACACTTGAAAGACGACATGTTTCTAAAGCACAGTTCCAAGAAAATCTGATGTTCCCATCCGTTGAACTGGGTCTTTTATGTCGTACATTTGGAATAAAATTTGTGTTTTAATTTCTGGAATTTCATGAATTTTATTCTTTGTTGAGAATCGATTAGCTAAAGGTCATCGGTCGGTCTTTGAACAGGAGGGAAGGGTAGGAAAGTTAAATGCTAACATTAAATAAGTCATATAAGGCGGGAGGTAAACTTTCTGACATTTCTCAGGAAGACGAGCGACATGTAGGAGGAAGTTCGTCTTTGTCACGTATAAGATCAATAATAAGTCGATCAGCTAAAGGCCATCGGTCGATTTTTGAGCAAACGGAAAGGTCAGGAAAATCAAATGTTGATACTAGATAAGTTACATAACCTGAAAGGTAAACATTCTGTTAGTTCTCAGGAAGATGATCGACGTGTAAGAGGAAGTTCATCTTCATCACATAGGTATAAGATCAAGAATAAACACTTCGAGTTCTATGATTTTTATATACATCAATTCAGGTAAATGTTTGACCAGAAAGCTATATTCCACCAGCAAACTTATACCACGTGTACAATGTCAATCTCTTGTTCTGTCTCTCCGGAAATCCGTCCCTTATTGTTTCAAGGAAGCGGCACACACGCGTGCACAGCATTGTCAGTCCCCACGGCCGCCCTTGACCGAGGGCACCGAACTACTTGGCTGTGCTTTTCTTAATTTCATCTTACCGATTCCGCTCACAATTCTTTTGTCTTACAGCGGATTATCAATAGAATTAAGTAAACGACCATTGAATTATGTATCGGCAAGCTTCGCACGAAATCTTTTCATGGCCCTGTTGACGGATGAAAAATAAAATCCGAATAAATAGTTACGAGAAAATAAAATACGTGACTCACACGGTGCTATCTCCCACGACGACGCGCTCAAGTGCTTTTATACGTAATTGAAAACTCAAGCGACATTGCTGCCTCGTACGCGCACACGTTTTACTCATCTCCATACAATGACAGTGAAAAGCGAAACGTTTTTTTGTCTTTTTCTTTCCTTTTGCGCGCGCGATAATTGGAAGTGTTTGGCCCCAAAAGCGCACATGCGCGTGAATCGTCTACATGTGTCGCGTGAATTTCTTTACACGTGAGACAGATTGTGACAATTAATCCTCGCTCGTGAAGTCTCTGTAACGAGAAATTCAGACACAACGATTGTTCGTAAAAAAATACAATCTGCGACGCAGCGGTCGTGTTTTATTTTTATAAGTATCGATTTGTAAACATACACTTATCTCGATCGATAAACATTTAATTCTTGGTACTTTTACTCCTTACAAAAAAGCTTTTAATGATCACGATTAGAATAAAAATGATCGTCTCGCATTATCAAGAATATATAAAGAAGCGGTCCTATTAATAAATTATAGAGTTCGTGGTAATCCATCAATCGTACTTTTGTATATATGTATCGTTTTATGAGAAACTCGGCGTAGTTATCGACGATCGCTGATAAGCTACAAAAAAAATCTTCTTTTGCATTGTGAAACTTCAATTTTTTTGATTCTCTTTCGACGCAAAATGGCACGAAACCGGCATATTTTCACGTAGTCGCGATACATCCGAGTGGCAACATTACTTTTCCACAGTGAAAGTGTCGCGCGAACGATTTTTTTTTGCGATGGTCGAAACAATGGGACGAAAGAGAAAAGTCATTTACTCGTTCTTCGGCGTTGAAAACTAGACACTAATTATTGTTATTGCGACAACCGAACTACGGCAATCCTGCCTGTTAGTTTTTCAGCCGCTAAAATGTAGGATAATGGTGGCTCATTTGCGTACGTGTCTTCCTTCGCACATGTCGTCAAGGTTAGTTCGACAGACGTAAATCATTAAATTAATATCATTCTCTAATCAGCTGCAGCTTTTTGTCAACGTTGTAGTGTCATCTGTTCCTCGAGAGAATGAAAATTTTATTGCTCGATTTGTAGCATACAATGGCAACGAAGCGCCTACGAGTTCGTCGACGAGGCATTCACTTCGGAGATTATTACCGATTACAAGTCCTGATTGAATGATACGCTATGGGTTTCTGGGTCTTCAATCTTTTATATAGGTTATCAAAAGAATTGTAAACAATCAGACGGCAATAACTCCACTTTATTAAGTGAGATTCGCTTTTTTCTAGAATTTTTCAAATCAAAGCAGTGAAACAAAGCCTTAATTTATTAAAAATTCAAGAGTAATTTAACAATCATCATAGTAACACACTTGTAACAAAACGCACTATTAAAATGTTCAATTCTCTCGCGTAGACTGGATATTATGATTTTAGTTAAATGAAATAACGAAAAATGCTATTGTCGTCTAAAATGAAGTGTTGTATATATTCTATTTACTGGTATTGAGATGTCGACACTGACAGTTTCCTACCTCAATAATTGTGTTTTACAGTTCTGATAATGGCCTCATGCATAACTTTGGTGCTGAACTTATCGCGCTGTAAATCAACTAATTACGACGTTTTGTTTTCTTTGAAAAAATTTAATTTTTATATCGATAGCCTATCATCGAGAAAATACCATTGAACCGTCTAGACGCAATTAACTTTGAAAAGACATCATCGCCAAAGAAATAGTTAAACGATTCGTCCGGGATGTCGTCGTTATTTACGTATACATGCGCGATACATAAATTAAGGTCGTCGACATAAAAGTTGGTTTTGCCGATCGCGTTTCTCGCTTACGCAGTAATAAAGTGATGCGCGCAAGTATGAAGAAAATGAATTTGCATGCAGGTATTCGCCAATTAAACGAAGAAATCGTGCGAGAGAAAGAGGGGCTCGCTCGACTTTCACCGCGCGAGTCAAGTGTGAGAATGTGACGTTCCGCGTCGGAACGGCGTCAAATACGACGTTCTGCGTGAGTTTTCCGGGTGGTGCGCAGATTGGACTTCATTTTGGAGGATTGCCAACGTAATGCCTGGTCATCGTTTCATCGCTACTAAGAAGAAGCATTGCTCTATCGTTATCGCGTTTGCACTGATTGATCGAGTGATTACCAAGAACATTTTTTTCACGATATCTTAGTCATGGTTTATTCTGATGTAAGGGAATTATAGCTGTGCATACGATGTCTCTTAGACGTTTATATGAAAATTTGTCTCCACGTTTTTTCTCTATTCTTCAAGCCTTAATCTTGTGCATAAATTGATCTAGATTATCTGAAAAAGCAATAACCTGCTAGATTATCTAACCCAATATTATACGTGCACTTTTCAATGTTATTCTTCGTGTAATACTTGAAGTTCGTCAACTATACTAACAAACAATTTAATCCATCAAAGTTATCGTCGTTTTTATCGTTAATCAAGCACATATAAAAAAATAAAGCCGTCATTAGAACCGTTACACATATTAACGCTTTTCCTTGAGTGCATTTTTTTTCAGCAATAACAAATCGCCATTTCCGCATCGATTAAAATTTGTTGATGTGTGCGACGGATCTTGCAAAACAAGCGCGGCTAAGGCAAGATTTTTACGTAAGGCGACCGAGGGCGAAAATGGAAATATCACGAAGCCGCCGCGAGCTCTCGCGCTTGCGTGTGTGATCTTAACATTTTTCTCTGGGAGAAAGTTCTAACAGGTGATTGAACGCTCGCTCGTCGGTTGTTCCCCGTACATTCAATTTGTTCCTCTTGCGCTTGCGCGAGAACACGAGGATTTTGTAATCGAGATTCGAGCGCCTAATCTCGAGTGTCTACGCGGCGGACAATCGGAACGTTTCTGTCGAACGTTGTTTGCGTCACGCTGCTGTAATTTTTATCGGGTTTTATCCTATTCTTCTTTCGCTCTCGTTATTCACGACTCTTTCTCATTCGTATCGCTCGGACGGGAAAGGCACCCACGAGCGTAATAAAGCGCGTGTTTTAACAAATTTTTTTTTTGCAAATTATCGCAACTTTCTTCCTCGCTGCGATCGTTGCTGTAATAAGTCACTTCGCGCGACAGATATACACTTTTGACAAATATACGAAACGTACCGGCAGACAGGCTAATTTTCACTTTTCGAAGGAAAAAAAGTGACGTAAGAGGCTTTCTCATCGCAGAAAAGTACGTGTGATCGTTCGATACAGCTGGCGCGCGGCGCTATTAACCAGCGCACGATGTCCGTCCGTCTCTGACTCTTCGAGCAGGAAGTGCGTTACGCGCTCGCGGATCGCTGTCGATCGAGCGGCCGCGAGGAAATTCAGAAATTCACGGCGAGCCGTCGTCTCTCATTCGCCAATGTTAATACAGCATTCCCAGCGAAAAACAAATGGAAGAAGTAAGAACGAAAGAAAGAAAAGCATTGCGCGCGGCAGCCGTAAAGTTGGCGCGCACACTACCAGCGAATTACGACGGGAGTTGTTCTATCGACACTTTTACCACCTGTCGCGCCGGCACGGAGCGATGAACCTGCATCGAGAGAAAGAAAAAAAAAGGAGGAAGCCGCGCTCGAAAGTCGTGCGTCGATTCAACCTACATTTCGATCGACTTTCAAACCGGACGGCATCGAATCGTTCGATCGTTACGCCTATACGCGCCGTCTCTTTGCCTCGACCTGATCGATATCGTATTATTTGGCTGCAGTGCTAAAATTTGCGTATAGATCTTGCATCAGCGCCGGTGATATATGTACACGCGTGGGCCCGTTGAATGTGCGCGCGTGCGCGCGCTATGCGGCGATAAGATCGCGCGAAAGAAGCGTGAGCCACGCACAGGTGGAGGTACTGTTACTCGGCTGCGCGCTTTCGTCATTTGCTGGAAAACACCTGTTGTGCGACGAGGTGAATGTTGCCATTCTTTTCTCCCTCGCTCCTCTGCAAGGGCAAGCTTCGGCTGAATAAAGTACGGATCTACCGATTGTTATCCGGCGCGCGGCGGCGTTATATATATCGCAGCGTCACTTCATCTCTCGTGCGTCGCGTTTGTATTATACTTGCGGAAACACTTTGATTGAGATGTACCATATGAATTTACAATGTAACGACGGAAAGGTCGTTCGCGACTGACATTCACGCTTGACAATTAGAATGCTCGTCGACGTCCCCGATCGAACGTTTCCATTCTCATCTCGTCGTTTAGTTTTCAGTCGACAATCTTCGATAAAACTCGAAAATCACTGCCCGCCGAGGTCGTCTTCGTAGGAGCGCGTGTGCCCCGACGTAAGCACGCGTCGGCGCAATCGTGCGCGCGAGTCCCTTGTTTTTCTTTTTGTATTTTCTGGCCTATTGGTGGTTTTTCTTTTTTTGAAAAAATGCGCTGGAAGAAAAAAAAGGAAAAAAAAGGAAAAAAAGAAAAAAAAATGCTCGTACGTGCTCTATCGTAACTTAATGAATCTCGCGTGTACGTCTATTTAGCATTGTGTGCGTTGCGAAACAAAGGGCTTTTTCTCGCATACGGAGCATTCCTGCCGCAACAAGCAGCACCGCATTATAATAACAATAAGCCTCGCGAGGAATTTAATGCCCCCGCGCAGCTGATAATGTCGCCGCGCGTGCGCTCGGAGTCACTTCCTACTTCCGTATTATATGCATCTTGAGCGCGAAAAAGAGGTTTTCCGCGCCGAGGCGAGCGCTAGACGCTTGGGAAAGTATCGCGCGGCTCGCGAGGCCGATTGTCGTACGTAAGAGAGCAAGGAGGATCGGACTCTCTCGGGGTACGTGAAATTTCGGTCGAGCCGCAGGAGTAGCCCCTCGACAACGACGGCGCGCGTAACGGCGGCGGTTTCTCTCGCGCTCGGCCGTTTTCCCTCTGCTCTACTTGTTCCGCGTGACAATAGGTTCCCGTCTGCGGCAGTTGCTCTCCGATTGTTGCGCGCGAGACGTGCCGCACGCGCACTTGCAAATTACGATTCTCACTCGATCCGAGAGAGTTGTTAGAGGGGCACGGGGGAGGGGAGCGTGGATCTTTCGCGGTGCTTGTACGGCTAATTTTTCAGGGCGCCTCGGAGAGCCGGCTGCCTTCTTTCGAAGCATCGAGGTTAGCTAGAGGTCTAAAATTAGCCTTATCGTCATCGATGAAGAATAAACATACGATTTTGTTGCTTATGTACAGTCATTCTATTCGAGTGGTACTGCTTTCGAAGATGGTATCTGGCAACGTGCGGCAACCACAATAGCCCACTCAAGTCGAAATAATCGATGAAAAGAATCGCGTTGTGCTTATCCTATCTTCACCTTCGACTTTGCTCCGCTCATCAATGACGACGATCCAATAAGCGTGTAAACGATCGAATCGATTCTGTTACAGGTGAAGGCTGCGTGGAAAAACCAGTGTCGACGTTATGGCGCAACTACGTCGGCAGCAACCGCCCCGACGTGTCGATGAGGTTAACGGTTACGAACGGCGGCCTGACGGCGACGACGAAAGATCACGGATTGACCGAATACTGGGCACATCGCGTCACGTACTGCACGGCACCTGCGTCGCATCCGAGGCTCTTCGTTTGGGTTTACAGAGATGAAGGACGTCGTCTCAGGCCGGAATTGAGGTGTCACGCCGCTCTATGCTCCAAAGAATCCACCGCCAGACGACTGGCTTCCGTCCTCAATGCTAGGTTGCATCAGGCTTTGCTGGAGTTTAGGAGGGACAAAGTTTCCAGGCAGAATGCCAGGTGAGTTATCGAGTCATTTGCCGTAAACACTTGAGCGACAGATATGCCATTTACAAGCTGGGCTGTATCGATATAACTTTCGAGTGTTCTATTTTCTTCGATTGCTGCTGGGTCATTTACATGCGCGCGATACTTGATTCAGATACTTGATTCATTGAGACGTGTGCGCGAATTCGTGTCAATGGCCTCGACAAATCGATTCTTTTTTTTTTCAATATAAACGTGACGCGAAGCAGGAGTAAACAGTCCTACATGACTGAATTACGTAATAAGGCGAAAGAACGGTTCGAATGATAAAGAACGCGAGAAAATGAATAGTTATCGATAATCGCAAGATACAGCGCATAAAAATAAAGAGCTCCCGAAGAAATCAGATATCTAATCGTTAAAAGCCTTCCGTGTTGCATTTAAAAAGCGACCGAGAAAATTATCCAAGGCGAGAGGAAAAATAATTGAAAGGCTCTCGCGACGACGTGCGTTGCTCATTCTGCATTCGACAATTGTCAGGAAAAAAAGCAGTTATATATTACCGATTACAACATAGCGATGACCTTAGGATTAAAAATCTTTTAAATGTTTTCTCTCAAGTGCATGCGTCGATCGACCAAAAGGCAACGCGCTTAGCCATCAACGTTGTGTCGACCTTGAAATCCTTTTTACAACGTAAAGAAATGTACTAATCTCGCTGGTTGCTTAAATCTGTGACAATGTATCCTTGGAGAATGACAAAAAATACTTGTTTTTACGTTATCGTAAAAGTTCATTCGTTTTCCTCATCTGTCACGCATTCGATGAGGATGAAAAGCCACTGCAAAAAGTATTAAAAGGACGATGTCATCTTCTTCAGTTTTTCTTCCAATCTACATCTTTCAAACTGCACAGCGATGGGAAATAAAGAGGTCGATTTGTTTTAAATCCATCAGGGTCGATGAAGTCGTTAAAGCTCTCGCAACGAAGAGACAGAAAAAAAGGTCGTTGCGTTGTTTTTACGCGCGTATAGGTCGAAAATTTCAAACTTAACTTCGCTATCCTTACACATCGAATAATACGTCGAATGCATCGGTCAAAGATATAAAGTAATCCTTTAAAATATTATCGAATAATTTAGACACGTGTCCTAGTTTAAAAAATTCTGGCGGTATTTTCGGAGATTACGTGATGTATTTATGAACCGAAAGAAAAAAATAAGGTGCCACAGCCCGAATTCAAGAAAACCAGTTCCCGTTCGGTCTATGTTTATGTTGATTCAACCAAATATTTCAAGCTATCATAAATCATCAGCTTAAAGTGAGGGATAGGTAGGTATACAAAAGAGCGCTGAAATTAAACGTAAATCCTTAGATATTTTTATAAACTAAGCGCGATTCTCAATCTCAATTGCAATGACTTTGAAAAGAGAGTTGAAAATTGAAGAAAAAATGTTCACGTACGTAACGTTAAAAGTCACATAATATCTCACGAGAAGGGAACTTTCGTTTTCAATAACTTTCTACGATTTCTCCTATTTGAGCTTAAGAAAGAGTAGCGGTGAGATAATTCGAAAAGACAGATGCCACGAATGAAAAAGCGAGTCGAGCGGAGAAATTGTCCGAATACGGGATATTACGCGACGCTTCGCGGTCGATAGCAGGAAGCAGCTCCAAAGCGGACCTGCCCGCCCGAATAACGCCACGGGGAACTCTGTTTGCAGGCTATCCCTGGCGAACGCAGTCTACGAGAACCCCTCCTTGCCGCGCCGCAAGCTGCTTCTGAGCACGGGCGGCTCGAACTACCGGCCGCCGTTGGAGCGCTCCAAGAGCGCACCGAAGCTCTCGGCCATCGAGGAGGACGCCGTGGCAGAGGAGATCGAGCAGCAGCGCTTTCTCGAGGAGCTGCGCAGCCTGGAGCGCGAGGCGCAAAGCTGGCAAGAGCAGGACGGCTGGAGATTGGCGCGACTCCTGGACGCTCTGCGTCGCGAGAGCTCCGACGAGAACGGCAGCATCTCCAGCGGCTGCGAGACCGCCAGCACGGCCAACAGCGAGGAGCGCGTGTACGGCAGCGAAGACTCGCACATGCCGAACGAGCAGGAGATTCTCGACGGTAAGGGTTCCCGCTCGCGCTTACGCCGCAGGAGAGAGAGAGAGTTTCGAGTCGGGTGAAGGTACTCCTTGGCCTGGTTTCATTTTCTGCGCATGTGAACGTTTTTTACACGTACAATCCGAATTCGCGAGCGAATTATGCATATGCATGAAAGTGCCTCGTGCTGGTGTCGCACCGACTCTGGAAAATACAGCCACGTTCGGAGATCGAACAAAAGGCCTATTATTCTTTTTTTTAGATATTTATGATTTGTCGTCATTTACATTTACAATTCAATGCCTTTCGTTCACTTTCTGACGAAAGACGTTCCAAGCACATTGTTTTCTTTTTACAAAATCTTCATATACATTCGTTTCTCATTTGCAGGCCAACAAACGAACGGCAAAGCGCTCACTGCAGCGATGACGACTTCGATCCCAGCAACACCACCATTGTGCAAATCACTGTCCTCCCTCGGCGACGGTCCACGTCGCAACTCCGAAGGTTCCCCGCACTTTATGACATGCACCGGTAGTCCACGATTTCGTCGACGAAGCAGTCGACCAACTCGCAGTCGTAGCCGAAAGGTCATTACAATATCAGCCGACAACGGCAGTGTATCGTCGCTGTCGCGAAGCGAAGGCGAGGAATCGATGGAGGAAGACGAGGAGGATGAAACAACTGCGTCAGGAATGATTGTCGACGTGAATTATTATGATTTTGAAGACGTTGAAGATATGGACGAAATTGTTGATTACAGACCACATGGCGAGAGCCCGAGAAACTCATGTAGCGCGGGATTGCAGGTGAGAAATTTCAAAATTGTGCTTAGCGATCGAGCTAAAAAGTGGAAAATAGGTTGCTTGGTTGGCTTAATTGTGACCTTCGAGATCGATCACCTTGATATCTATAATGCGATTGTCGATCAACTTATTAGCCCGCAAAGTGCTGGTAATAAATTTAAACTGTTTATATTGATCTTCAAATCAGCTTCAAATCTAATCGCTTCAAGTCTTTTGATTTCCGTAGTAACTTATTTTTTCACCGGGCAATAAAAAAAAGAAAAAGATTCCAGCACGTATGGTAGGAAAAAAACGAATCTATGATAAAAATCTTACACTTGCGTTATGATTTGTCATTTACAGAACGACAGTTACGCAGCACTGCTGGCCAGACGCGAAGATATGTGCCAATTGATGTGCGTCTCCTGTGACGAAATCGACGGCGACGAACCGGTAACAATTGACCCGGAAGTCGTTGCCAATACGAACACAAAGAATTTTCACACTTTGGGATCGCTTGACGAAGAGGAAGCTGACAGCGACGAAAGCGGCTACGTCGAAGCATCGCCGAAAACTTCAAGTCAGAAAGAGGTAGAAGGGACAAGGAAAGAAGTCGAACAAAACGATCGAGCAGAATTTATCAAATGTCCTATATCTGAGACGATCAAGAAATTGGCGAATGCCTCGTTGAGAAGTTCCAAACCTATACGAGTAATTCCAACTGCTGGCACGTGCTTGGACGATGGCGAGTCGCCAAGTTTGTTGCAAAGGAAACGACTATTGGCTCAACATGGGGTTACTGTTTGAGAGAGAAAAAGAGAGAGAGAGAGAGAGAGAGAGAGGAGAGAGAGAGAAGAGAGAGATAGGAACACTGCTTGCTGAATCTCAGTGAATCATGTATATTTGTGTACATTGGAAATCACTCTCGATTGTGTATTATATATAATACGTTTTGCATCTTGTAAGATATCGAGCGACCGGTGGATTAAATGTGCATGCCTCTGTTCTCAATTTATCATTTCAACCACGATTCTGTTTTTCGTAACATTGTTATAATATTCTTCCTGACTAATTATGTGATATATTTACTTGAAGAAAATACAATTGGTTATTTGTGATAAAAAAATTTCAAACAATACTGATTAAAGCTAAAAAAATAAAAACCGAACGATGATTTTGTGAGAGATTTGTGTGGGTAAACGGTATTTAATTTTATTTAATTGTGTAATCAATAGTTTGTAGGGATACAGAGTCGACGATTTTTTTAATATATATATATATAAAGATGGACTGGAAGTGACAGTGAGAGCTTAGTAACTTAGTTAACGGTGAGATGAAAGTATATGTTTTATGTGATTTTTTTCTCTTTTTTTTTTTAATGTTTCTCAAAGTTCACATGACTTATTTGTAGTTGGAAATTTCGATGTAGTATTACTATTGATGAACCGTATCGATATAATCAAGTATTTTCACGTATATGTACATATATAGTAATTTAATAACTGTTTTGATGTATGTAGAAATGTAATTATATGTAGCCCGATCAAAAAAATTTTTGTTCGACTGGCGATATTCAACGGAATATGGACTTCTCGTTTCAATCAAATATGGTTCAAACCGCAAATCCTTGAAAATTTAATAAACTATCATTATAAATCTACTTTTTTATGTCTATAACTATCCCTGATCAAAATCAAGTTATTAGAAAAATTACAAATTATATATAATTAAAAATAAGTTTCTTTTGTTGATATTTTATTACTTTATTGTTTTTGTTATTTACAAATTGAAATAGTTTCACTGATATAGTTACAGTTCTTTTATAAAGTCATATTTCTGTAAAAAATTTTTTTAATATTACTCTATATTACACGTGTAACATTAAGTAATCAATTTTCAAATATTTAAATATTTGTACCTTTGCGAAAAGAAAATCGTTGATTAGCATGTCTCGTCACTGCACTTCTGTTTTACTGCTTTGTGCAAGTTTCAATAAAATGACAAATTCAAATTACGTTATATGCAATACACATAATATAAATAAATTCGTTTACTACAAAAACAGTAAATGATTCGTAAACACACGTAGCTCAGTAATCGCAAAATAAATAACAGTTATTGTTGAATGATAGCGAGCTGATTTTCAAACGTTTGATTTACAGAAAAATAATTCGGGCTGTAATTGAATCAATGCAATTGCCCAAAGCCGTTGTTATTTCCCTTTATTATTATATACTTACTCAGAATCAACCAAAAAAATTTTCTTATTTTCGCTATACATCAATAATATTTTTGACGTACGTTATCCAAGTGTAAAATGACTTAAAAAATTATGTATAATTGTTAATTAATTTCATTATTCATTAATCGCCTACAATTATTACGTTTGAATTAAATCCTATAATGAATGCGAAACTTTAGGATAGCAATGTTATGACGCAGAGTAGTTTCAATGAAACGTGTAATTTTGAATTTATCGCTACAATTGCCTTAACTAATTTTTCATCAAGCTCGATTAATAATTAATTCAATTACATCTAATGAATTTTAAAATACTTTAGAATAATTAGATATCATACATATGATTCCTATGGTTATAAAGCAATATGGATAAAAAATGTATACAATAACAATAATCAACAGGTAACTGAAGTTCAAGAAAGTCTTTAGAGTTATAAATAATTTACGTTCGCTTGATTAAAAATAATATTTCGCCTACGCTAATTTAGAGTCGATCAGAAAAAATTTTCTTCTATGGTTTCTCGCATAGAAAGTAATAGAAATAATGTTGTTATCGTGAACAGGTAACCAAGCAAATCTATATTCGCTATCTGTTTTATTTGCAGAGTTCTACTACAGAATTTAAGGTATAGGTGGCGGTACCATGCAGTGTACATTTTTGCATTCAAATCACTTGTACCTACAACGCAAAATCTACGTTGCGAATGTATACTCGAGGCATGAATAAGTAATGTAAAGAGTTTCTTTTAAAATCATTAGCATATCTTTTATAAAAGTGTCAGTAATATTTTGTATTGGCTCACTTCTGACGTGCAAAAATATTGTTTCTTCCTTACATCGTTTTTACGCGTTTAGTCTTTTTTTTAGATGCTATACTTAATTTATAAACAACAAAAATCAAACTAAAAAAGCGCTATAACTTTTTATTGAAAACAAAAGAAGGCAATTTTCAAGTGGACATTAAAACGAAAATCATTACGGACGGAATAGCCGTAGCAAATGACTATCGGCCGAACTAAATAGAAGAAGAATAATTTACTTTCACTCTGCGTCTACGCGATGTTGCGGCGGGAATACGGGCGACCTAATTCGCCTAACACAAGCCGCACATTGTACAGAGCTGACGTTTTCCACGAGATACATAAGTATTTCATTGAAATTATTTTCACGGAATCCATCGCATTATTCGCAAATGAAGCTCAAATCACACGTGCACTTGAAATCATCTACAAACAAAACAAAAAAAAGCAATAGACAATTAATAGATACAAACGAAAAAAAAAGAAAGAATAAAAGGATGAATAGGTGCGAACGATGACGCAGACAGCGTGAGCACGAGTGATAATAGAAATCGGCGCGCGCGCGAGCGTAGGAAGTGGAAGGGCACGTGAGCGAGCGAGGCGGTGGCATTGCATCGTGTCAAGATCAAGGTATCCGCGTTGTGTACACGTGTATATATACTCACGCTCTCTCTCTCTCTCTCTTTCTCTCTCTCTTTCTCTGCCATTCACGTTTGCTTACCTGTTGGCCTTTGACTCTTATCATGCCTCGCTAAATTTTTCTCTCTTCCTCTGACTTCCTCCTTGCTATTCGTTGAGTTATAAGGCGGAATTTCTTTCTTTTTTATGTATTTTGTTGAATTAATCTCCGGGTGCAGATTTCGATATTATCTGTATATCCGAGGGAGTTGAGAGTTTTGGAAAGTTGACAAAAAAATTATAGGGTTTTTTAATTCAAATAACCATTAGTCGGCTACGGAAGAGAAATCATCTTAATAAATAACTAAAAATTCATCGTGACGATGTGCGTACGCCTAGCAAATAATTTGAGAAGTTAATATTAAATCCTAGTCACGTAGACTAATATTCGGAGCCTCCTAATCTTGAAAACTATAAACACAATACGTACACCCTACAATTACGATTTCATTTTATTATTGATATTAAAGCGAACATAAATAAAGAATATCATAATCATGTTTCTGTACAATATTATCTTCACTAGGATTCAAGTTTCCGATTACATACATATGTATCAAAATGCAAACTGCATATTGCAGTCAATAGAAGACGTTATTCACTTCAAAGTACATCGTGTAATTTCAAACGTTTGGCCACTTTTTTCAGGACTTTATGAAAATGTAAAGAACGACTGATTTGATCATTTATAGAAAACTTTTTTCGAAAGACTCGCCGATCTTCGTGACATTTTCGCAGACTCGTCCAACGAAAGGAAAATAGCCTAGGGAGCAGCCTGCTGCAGATCTATTCGAGTAGAGGCCATTCGTTTTGCGCACCCATTTCCGCGGCCTACTAACCGTCCGTCCGTCCGCTGCCGCGCCGCCGTAGCCGCGTGTCGGCGCTGTGCCGCGAGCTCGTCCATTTTGCCGCAGTCTCCTTTATTCCGAGAGGCACGCAAAACCACCGCATCGAGAGAGTGAAGCGATCGACTGTTCTCCACTCTTACATAAAACCTATAATGGTCGATCTTGTACCCGCGCAGTCGAAAAGAAAAATGAGCTTTCTAAATGTCAACCTGCACCGACACATTGGAGGTGACAGTCGTATAAGCGCAAGATGATACTACATTATACATCGCGTGTCGTTAAACGCTTTTACGAGGCTACCTTTACGACGCATTATTCGATAATAAAATAAGGATATCTTTACAAGCCGCTCGTTGAAAGTCGTTGATGCTGCGATGCTTTTCATGGGCATGAATACGCGTGTACTTAAGAAACGATTCGTTTGGCCGTGCATTCGCGATGAATTGTGCAGAGGCCTTCGACTATTATCGGAGTGGCTTGTTTGACGAAACAATTCAAATAAGTGCTCGGCAGTTCTTTTTCTTTTTTTCTTTTTTTCTTTTTTTTTTTTTGAGCGCATCGACCAAGAAATCGATGTAGATCGATTTAATAGAACGTGAAGCAAACGCCAGCAAAGACGACGAAAGATCAATATACCAGAGAAGGAGGCAGGAAGCCATCCGAATCTATCCCGTTGCATCTATCTCGCATTGTAAAGTGCACCTCGAAAGCGCATCGATAAAGCCAGGCAGAAGGCCAATACATTACAACGTCGTATATGGATAACACCCGCGCGCACTCGATCGTTTATGCCGATTTTGCGCACAACGTGTATCTAATGGGGACTCGCTGCCCTCCCCCCCTTCCTTTCTCTCCCCCTCGTCATTCAAGAGTTTTAACGCGGCGGCGGCGGCGGCGGCGGCCTGGAGAGGAGCCCGCAGTGTTAACGGCCTTGCTCGCAGATGTAGGTCACGAAACAAGGTCCCCACGCGAGTCAACCAGAAACAATGGGGAGCTGTGCTTTCTTTTTGGCCGATTTTTTTTTCTCTCTCGATCGGAGTGGGATGTTTTGCGATGACGTCGATTGGCGGGGGGGGGGGGGGGGAGTGTGGATTGTTTGCGGAGAGTTTTGGATTTTTTGAGACACAAGTTTCGTTCCTTTTTTTTTGCGTCATACACCTGTCCGTTCCATTTTTTTTTTTGGACACGGTAGATCTGATTTCTCGGTCGTGGATCATTTAATTTGATAATGTTCGAACTTTCATTAAAGATTTTCCATAAAAAGCAGCGAATCGAATGACAGAAAATACTCTAATAATGTGCATAAAAAGAACGAGGTAATGAAAACTGCATAACAAATATATGTTTTCATAAAATTATTTCTATCGCACGGCAAATTTAATTGGAGTTCACCTATCGAATTCCCGTCGGCTATATATACGCACTGATCTTAACTATTTTAAAATAAGATTAATTGTTATGAGTATTTTTGTAATTACAATCTTATTTATACTATGATGAAATTATGATTGTTTTAATATTAATAAACTTTATAAAAAATTCAGCAATTATTTGAATGAACGATTGAAGGAAAAGTTTGTTACTTTCTAACGAATGGTACAGTAAAGGAGTATTTTATAATTTGATACAATCGGTAACATTATTCACATAATGTATATGATGTATTAATTGTAAAAAGGGTTCTGTTCCCCTTCGGTGAGGAAGTCAAACTAAAAATGCAACGAGCCGCGTGTCAAAGCATCGAGAAAGAGAGAGAGAGAGAGAGAGAGAGAGGCAGGTCAATGATAGTCTTTTTCCCACATGATCGGCACACGTGGGTGAGCTGAGAGGCTCTCTCGCGCACGACACAGAATCGATATCTTCGATCTTGAAAGATCGAGAGACGAGCATTTTTGCGGACCTCATACAGACGTTGTCATGCATTATGCGCGTCATTAGTTCTCGTAAATATTCCTTTCGCTCGTCTCACTTTAATTTACAATGTTAAATGCTAATTGCCCCATCCCTCGTTTAAGCTAACGCTCACCTACTGACCGTTTAAACTGTACATCTCTTTTTCATTAAAATCAACAGAACGATAGAATCGGTAATCGAGCATCGACGGTAGCCTCATGTACAAGATTCGCTCGATACACTCGAACGGAGTTGTAAATTGAAATTTACTATCGTCTACCCTCGATTCTTACGAGTGTGCGTGAAATTCCGAATAAGTAGGTAATGTGTGTGTATGTGAGAGGGCCTCGTTCTTTCTCTTTTTTTTTTCTTTCATGCCACGACAAATATTTTGATAGCCGTTCACCTCCTTTGTATTTTTATCAAACACTCGTTTGCATGACGAGGAGAGACATTTTTTTTAAACGTCATCTCCCTTGAGAATTCTTTTCGGTGAAAGTTTCATCTGCACAACGCAGCTATAAATATATATATATATATACCTCTCATTTAAATTTCCTGTGTACATGTGATGCATAGAGCGGATTTTCGGAATACGTAAGTTGAACTTTCCAATTCGCTAAAGGAATTTTAAGGATCGCATTGATATTGTTTTAGTTTACGCGCGTGCGCGTCGCCGTCGTTCTAATTGTCGGGATGATGCCTCCTCTTTACGGACTCGCGACGTCCTTATTCCACACGCCACTCGATTGCCTCGCGACTTGAAGAGAAGAAAAGAATAACCGAATCGCGATAAGCGCACTTGCCGAAGTCCATCGAATCACGACCAGCCAAAGATTAGACAATCTGAAAAAGAATCCTCGTAGCCTACATTCGCCATCCACGGAATCTAAAGTTGTCGATCGAGAGAGAAAGAGAAAGAGAGAGAGAGAGAGAGAGAGAGAAGTACGAATCATCATCGCCATCCGTCTGTCGGCATCGCTCTCGCGATATGTAGGATCCTGAAGTCAGAGCCGCATGCAGCACGGTGTGCTGGTGTGGTGGTCGGTCGGGATACACAAAGTGTGCCATCGGCGTAAAAGTGGCACATCGCTGCCTGGTACCGCGGTAAGGTTGTGTGTCCGCCTCCCCTCTCTATATAGCAACCAGTTGGTGAAAGACTTTCTTCTTCGCGAGAGAGAGAGAGAGAGAGAGAGAGAAGTAATGTTGCTTGCTCTCGAAAGCCGCGCGGCTGAGACGCTGCAATTTTTAAAACTCGACGAGCTAGCGAGTTGCTTATAGACAATGCCGTGGCTCGCCTTACCATTTTTTTCTAGGGGATTGTATATGGCGTTATACGTTGAATTCCAGTAATTAAAATTTGACTGTATATTTCAACTAGCGAGTGAAGTTTCAATTTGAATTATATTTTATTTCTGTACTCGCGAATGAATTTAGAAATGGCGTTGTGATTTTAGTTTGAACGTTTCCTTTTTCTATACTTTTAATCGCCCTGGATTGTTTATTTCTGTTATTCGATTGTATAATTTAAAGATTACGTTATATTTGCCAATATTACACTTGAATGCACAGTAAAATTCTTGTTATTTTTATTAATTTGTAGGAAAGGTTTTCACTTATCGGAGTCTGAAGTTAATTTTACTTTATTTCATGGTTATATTCGATAATATATTCGTTTGTATACGAGTAAGATCAGAATGCCAAGATTTTGTTCATTCCGGATTGATAATATAGCGAAAAAAAAGCAAGTGAAAAATAAGCTCGTTATCTTGTTCGGAATCCCGATTGTAGCGAAAACTCATGACAACCGTTAAAAAGAACCTATCAGTCGCATTTGTAACTCCTTTCGGCGCAGGTGCATCCTCCCGGTTTCGATTGCGCAATGTAGACCGAGAAGGCATACGCATCCTGCCGAAAAAAAGGACGAAGGAAAGACGTAAGTATACCAGTGAAAATAAAGAAGAGTATGTACCATTGTGTGTGTTTGAGGAGCAGCCGTCAATCCGTTATATATACAACTCTCTCATTGTCAAGGTGATGCCTATTAGATATATGTGTTGTACGTATATACGCGATCAGGTGGCCCAGATTCCACGCACACTTTAACACACAGCTGCTTTCTGTCAATCGCGCCGCGTTCTCGATTTACATTACATTATATGCCGAGCGTGAGAATTACGTCAGATGCCGGGTCGATCTTTTTTTTTTCGATTTTCAAGGGCAGCAAAGATTCGTAAAAAGGACGCGGATGTATTTCCGCACGCCGTCGCACAGTTCCTCCTTATATTTCTCGAATTCTGCATTTTAATGACATGTAATCACGGGATGCGGAGAGAACTTTCTCTAGGCGTAGCCAGCATACTTACGTGCCCACCGCGCCGCCACAGCCGCCATTGCCCGTAGAAGAGAGAAGAAAGTTCGTGAAGAATTTTTTTTATGCTGTTGGTTTGTTAGATTGTTGAGCTTTTTATGGTGCTTCTAGTCGTTATTACAGAGCTGTACAATTTATTTGAAAAAGAAGAGGGGGTGATTATGTCTTGTTTTGTTGCATGAAAGAGAGAAATACCAATTGTTTTTTTTGTTTTTGTAATTTCCACACCACTTTTTTAATAGAGAAAATAAAGAAGATATTTACAATACAGAAGTAAGAGAATAAATTAAAAAACAAACATACATGCGCTTAAAATCTTAATATCACTCATACAATTGATCTAGCTTTAATTTATACATGTTTTGAGTAGAGAGGGGAAATTGGTAAGAGGGTGGGAGGAAAAAATCACGATCAGGTTGTTCTACGGTAACAATCAAGAAAATCGTTCATTTTCGTTTTTAATTAAACATCAATATTTTCATATATACATATATGTATATATATATATATAAAGTATCTCGAGGTTTCTTTCTTTATTATTTGTCATCTCTCTCAATCTTTTTGAGACTTTATACAAAAGGAGAAAAATAAAAAATTGGTCGACTTAATGAACGGACGGCGAACGGCAACGTGAAACCAACCTTTTTCTTTTAAATAACAAAAGTAATTTGGATCGAAACTACATATCCACGCACACGTGCGAAAACTAGTTCAAGCTCTCGATGCGTTTATAAATATTTCCGCTTATATCGCTAAATTACCAAAAAATTCGTCACCTTTCGCGGGCCATATCAACGAAAGAAAAGAAAATTTCGCTTTGCCGATTTGACGCTGAAATCTTGATCGATTGAAAATCCGTATGTGTTGGCCTACAATTTATAATGACCTACATTTCGCTGAATGCGTGTATATATGTGTGTGTGTGTCTGCCGACTGCGGAGAGCACACATAGTTTGGACGGAAGAAGTAAAAGGTTCGATCCTCAACACGGAGTCGTGATCCTCATTTTCTCTCTCTATATATGTATATGCGCACACATATGTATATTCTATCTATATTACACATAAATCTGAGGCAGCGCGAGTATGTATAATCATGTTTCTTTTTTTGCATGTGTATATCCAAGTCGAACTACATTTTTTCTCAAGAAACGTGAGTACAATGTACAACAACGGGCTTCAAAAAATTCGCTAAGAGAAACATTGGAATAGACAGAGAAAGAGAGAGAGAGAGAAATAGAAAGTTTTACATAGGCAGACTATATTACAACGCACTTGCGAATAAATAACAAATAAAGAGCTAAAAAAGGAAGATAAAAATTAGAGTACGGAGAAAGAGGAGAAAGAATTAAAGATACAAAATAACATAGCTTAGAGAGTAGATTGCCACCGTCGAATTTACGCGAAAGAAAATACAGCGAGTTTGTAAAGCGCCATCTAGCTATCTAGAGGCGAACACAATGTCAAACGTAAATTCGAGGGTAACCTTAAAAAGAAAAAAATGATGTAGAAGAATTAAAAAAAAAAAACAGCGCAATTAATATTGATTAAGGTACGTATGCATTGCGTAAGTAGAAGTTGAATAGCAGCCATCGTCACGCGCATATACTTCATGTAGAGACAACTGGTTCCATCGTGATCTGCCATGTTGCTCCTTTAGCTGCTCATCAACGACAACAAAATCCGTGGTACACAATCTCTGAGATCGATCTGCAGGCGTCTGTCGATGTCATCTTCATCATTGTTTTCAGTTTCATCTTCATCACAATTATCGAAGTTATATGTAGTGTGTCTGTGAGCTATTTTTGTAATATTTTGTTCTCAAGGTTTTTTCTTTATTCTCAACATGGGAGTTTCTCCATGTAGAGAGCGCAGCCCTGTTGTACAACGCAAGGTTTTCACACCCAGCGTTTACAAAATAATACCGTCATTATTCGATCCTCATCCGTATAAGGGTATTTTTACTCCGTTTTTCATTATCAGGATTGTCCAGAGCATTAATCCCTGCCGATTCTCTTGTGAATCTGCTGGTGTTTGATAAGATGAGCTTTCTGTCGGAAAGCCTTACCACACACATCGCACCTAAATGGTTTCTCACCAGTGTGCGTCCTAAGATGTACCTTGATGTTGCTCTTATTAAGAAAGCCTCGATTACAAATCGAACATCTGTGAACTGGTTTTTCCTTGCCACCGATCAAACCAGATTCCGTACCGTAAGGTAGGGTCGTCGTCGCCGCGCCAGGACTCTTTTTCGAAGGACTATGCGAGCCTCCGCCGCCCGATGGTCTCGACCTCTTTCTCGGATGCTGTGGAGCTACGAAAGACGAATGCAACTCTGGACTACAGGAGGTGGACACGCGACCAGGTGGACTGACCGGTGGATAGGGACTCGTCGACGACGGTGTTTCGCCACACGAAGCTTGCAACCTCTGTTGCAACATGGGCGAAAAACCATGAGTCAATAAATTCTGCAACGTGGAACTGTGTTGCTGTTGAGGTGGCGGTGGATTGTTCGATGGTGTTGCTGAGTAAATCTGCGAGTACGGACTCGAAGAACTGGTCTCTTGAGTCTTGGGCGAACAAGCCGTATCGATCCACTCGGCAATGTCGATCCAATCACGCGGTGACACTTCGGTATCGTGTTCCGATGAAGGTCCATTGTTCCCTGCATTATTGTTGCCAGGTGGGCCATTGCCACTTCCCGGTACAGTCGTATCCGCCATAGCTGAACCAATAATCTCCGCAAGATCCTCGATATTGTTGATGTAGTCAACGGTTTGCTGAGTGCCTTGTGGCATTTGCTGCTGCTGAGTTGGTTTTTGCGTTGGCTGTGGACACGGTGTGCTCGACGACACCACTGAGGACTCATAGTACTCCTGATTGGACGATGGTGACGGTGAAGTCGACTGCATTGTTGGTCGCTGTTGCGCTGACGATGCGATCGTGTGATAATGGTGACCTGGTATTCCGTTGATACTCAGGTGACCTGTGTAACCGGTAAACGGTGGTAAGGGTTTGAGTTCCGCCAAGGACTGTGGCGTTGTGACGCCAACCGATGAACCGAGTAACAACGTATCCCAAGCATCTTCCAAGCCTGCGGTTGCTTGTTTTGCATCGTGAGCTTCGAGAAACTCAGTACCAGCTGTACCCCACGGTGAAAGCAACATGCTGTCAACACCTACGACTTCAGTGGGTGAACCACCAACTACGATGCCGGCTTGATTGTTACCTTGGTTACTGTGAGCTGGCTCGGTTGAAAGATGGGACGGGGTTGTAGGTGGGCCACTTTGGGCTGTCTCAAATTTCATGTCTGGACTCCTTGTACCAGTTTCTTCTCTCCTCGCTGCGTTACTGTTGTTACTGTTACTGCTGCTGTTGTACTGTTGTTTGGATATCCGCGACGACGACAACAACGAACTCAGTAATGACGGACTGAAATTGTTATTGTTATTACTCGACGACGTGGCGGTACCGCGGTGCTCGTCGTCCACCTCTTGCTTGATCCTACCGGGATTGAACGACGATAAAATACCGTTTAAGGAGTCGGGCGACGCTGGTATCGTCGTCGATGACGATGCTGGGGACTGTTGTTGCTGTTGCAAACTACTGGTTATCAATCCGTAACTGCCATCGTTAGTACTGGCAGCCGCTGTGGAATCGACGTAACCGAGGCTCGCCGTCGACGACGTGCTGTTCGTACTTGCGTATCCGTTGTTTTGCTGTTGGGTGCGTTGTTGATGATGTTGCTGGTGTTGCTGCTGGTGTGACTGCTGATGATGATGGTAGTTGTAGATGTCGTCGAGCGGCGGAGGCAGTGGCCCCTCGTCGATCCGCGGAGGAGGCGCTCCCGGGGGAGAGACCGAGGGGCAGAAGGTGCCGGGATTCCACCAAGGATCCACTCTACTGCCGGGGGTGCTGCAACCGCCAACGGCGCCGCGAGGACCTGTAATCAGTCAATTCAAAACACATTGTCAACGTTAACGCATCGAACAAGACTTGCAAGTAATGCGTCAAGTAAATTCGTTTGTTTATCTATGCGATTCGTTGCCCTCCGTTACACGGCAAATTTTATTAGTAATGATGCACTTCGTAAACGGCTCCAATGATACCGCCATAAAAACGACATCCTAAAACTGGAATAAAAAAGAGGAACAACGTTCGCGCACTGAATTGGTTGTGATGTTCGCGCACGATCTTCTCCCTCCCGAAAATTCCATATGCGTACTCCTTAACAGTCCGTGGACCGGTACATACGTATATATTTTGAGGGGCCTCCCAAGAGAAGAAGACTATGCCTTATACACACAGTGTTCAGGCTCTCGTCGTCGTCGTCTTTCTCTCGGAAGAAAGAGACTCGCACCGCGCGCCTTGTAGAGAACTGGGTTAGTAGCACAAACTGCTTGCTGCCTCCTGACGCGCGAGAACACCGAAATACAAGAAAAAAAAAAGGAAAAAAAGAATTGGTTCTCGTAACGTTCAAACGAGATGAGATATTGCTTGCGATCGGTTACGTCGATTGCGAATCATACATGTATATCTAGGTTGCCGAAAATCCGCGCGAAAAATAAGAAGAAAAAAACAAGCGCGGGCCACTCTCACCGTTTCGTTCATAGTGGGGATAGAGAGAGCGCGTGACGTTAGCGAGGTACCGTTAAACACAGAGCCGCGCGCGACTACGGCTTGAACGATTGACAATGGGATCAGTGGGTAGAGAGAGAAAAAAGTCAAGCGATATAGAATATGTCCCTTACGTGTGTTACGTGCAATGCGGGTGGTGGAATCGTTGTTTTTTGTTTTTTTTTTTTTTTTTTTTTCAGCGGACGTTACAATACGTAATGGCGGAAGGATATGATCGAACAATCGGATCCGCGCGATATCGCTTTCACGAAGAGGGAGACGAGACGAAAGAGAAAGAAGGAAGAATAAAGAAGAAGAAGAAGAAGAAGAAGAAGAAGAAGAAGCAGCAGCAGCAGCAGCAGTAGAAGAAGAAGGGGGATTCACCGACGCAGCAGCAAGAGCAGGAGAGCAAAGCGCAAGCAAAGTAGAACGGAACACCGTTAGGTTCTCCGCGCGGGTACATACGAGATTTTGTTCACGACGCGTTCTTGGTCACGCACACACGCCACCGCCATAGCGACGCAAAGTAGCTTTCCTTTTCGTTGCGAAAAATACCTTCTGCGCACACACACACGCGCGCGCGCGCATGCGTGAGAAGAGAGAGATCCGTTCCACGGCTTGTCCGACGACCTACTTTTCGCGCGCGCGCGCGCGATGCTCACGAGAAGATTCACTTTGTGCACTTCCGGTGCGCGCCAATGTCGCGTGGCTCTTATCGATGTTGCTCTTCTGCTGAATTACCATAGCAGAATGTAAGACGCGCCACGTCGAGTTACATCCGTTGACAACGAGCTCTCGTTTAATTAGGCGGACTCGTTAACATTTGCATTGTAAGGCCGCTAATTAATTCGATCGGGAGAACAACACGAACCGATGACTCACCGATTACAACCCTCTTCGCGTATTGTGCAACGTATTTATTTATTTATTTCGAGGGCATTTCCCGCAGAAATACAATCAGCAAAAACGCAAGTACATATCGTTTGCTTAGCATCGACGATTTTCCACACTAGCCCGTCGTCCTAACAACTGGAACAAAAAAAAATTAACTGTCGAGAAGGAATGTTCTAATTAGTTGGGAGTTGCATGAGGGTCCTTATCTCTCTCTTTCTCTCTTTCTCTCGTTGTACTTTTTTGAACCGCGCCTCACGTCTTCGTAGCGGTACTTTTTAAAGCTTTTGTGCGCGCGCGAGAGTGCCAGTTACGTGCGTGTGCTCGCGGTCTACCGCCGATTTTTCGGCTATGCCTCTCTTTGAATACAATGGGCCGCGACGCGCACGTTTTTTTGTTTGAGTCCCGGTTGACTTGCTCCTCGTTTTATTTTATTCCATTTTATTTTGATATCGTTCGATTATTTTCCTCCTTGACGTGGCGCGAGGCGACTTTGCGTGCGCCTTGAAATTACGATTTTAAAAAAGTTGAGCGTGAGATGATTGCACATAAAGGAATGATTTACATACGACGACGCGCGTCGCTCGATGTCGCAACGGCAAATGAAAAGAAAATTAAGAGCTTGATTATCATCAGAGGAGAAAAAATTCAGCCACAGCCTCGTACGACCACCAAGTTCTCTTACACACCCCCTGTTGCGCAAAATATCCGGTATGCGTAGGGTGGTCACGAAGAGCTTTCATTTTCATGTAAATATAGATGGCATCCGCATGGGCGAATGTGAGACCCGCGCGGTGAGTTCGATGCCTGCACGAGAAAAAGAAACGTTACGTTCTGGGTTTGGAGATACCACTTGTTGATCTCTCGCTGATGATTCAAGAAGACAGAGAGAGAATCGAAAGTTCTTTTGCTATTTCACCGTTATTTATACACCGTAATTCTAGTTATACGGACTCACTTATGTATATGTATTTCTCTGACATTCGTCGTCTAACGACTAACTGAGTGAGAAAAAAAAAGACGACCAACGTGTACGAACCCGTATATGTTGATTTCGGCTTATAATTTTTTTATTTGTGCCAGTCGGTAGAACCGCAAACGTTAAATTATTTTCCATTCGAAAGAAAAAATTATAATAAAATAAAAATAGAACTGACTGCAATGCACACATACAGTCTCGCGGTGGTATAGGATACATAAAAAAGTTGCGCGAGCGGAGAAAGTGCGACTGGCGGTTCTATAGGTACGCAAGGAGAGAGAGAGAGAGAGAGAGAGAGAGAGAGAGAGAGAGAGAGAGAGAGAGAGGGGGGTAGAACGACCGTGATATTATTATTGCACGCCTTATGAAAATCGTTGAAAATGATATCAGACTCGCGACGTGCGCGTGAAAAAAGAAAGAAAACACCTGTTATCGAGCAAACGAAGGGGTCCACTTGGAAAATGGAGCATAACAAAATAGAAGAGGAAGAGGAGAAGAATTGAAAAATTCGACACGGGCACGCATTGTGTCCGAAAAAAATTAACATAAAACAACAGAGAGGGGGGCAAGCGCTCTTCGCGGAACTGTATGGCGCGCGCGAGGCCCATTCACGTGCGCGGCGCTCGCGGTACACTGACCTACTCGCGACCCCACTATCCCGCACTTCCACGCGTACACATACATAGGCGAAGCATCCTTCTTCCTTTCTCTCTCGCGTATACGCCACGCTACGAACGAGGCGGCAGTGCGCGAGTCAGCTATATGATAAGGCGACCTTTCTCCACCTTGTCTGACGCCGCCGCCGCCGCCGTCGCGCGACTGTAAGGCCTTTAAATACGACCTCATGGGGCAAGGACATAACGGGGGTTTTACTCCGTCCGTGCCAGGGTTACGTGCGTTAATGAAGCTTTTTCGTCGCGGATTCGATCAAGTAGATTTTTTTACTTTCAGGCTGAGAATGGCCTTTCGATTATCACAAAAAACATCGAATCATGCAGATTTAGAATAGAGTCCTTTTATTTCCAAGTGAAATGCAATTTTAATTATTACCACTAATTGGAATGATATTATAATTAACAAAGTTACATTTTACATCCAGCTTGAAGAAAATCGTTAAAGTCAATTACCTTTAAAATAAATTTAAAATGAAGTATCGTTATTTAAGCCTTAAAATGAAAAAGGAAAAAAGTCAGATATTTGCCGGATCAAAGTGGAATAATAAGGCACGATTAGATACTTTTTTGATGATTCTTTAAGAGCCGCCTTTTGATTTATGTTCGAATGTAGAAAGTAGATCACAGAAAGTAGGACTTGACAGATGGAGCCGCTAGTAGTAGTTGTAGTAGTCGGGCGCGTGCGCTTGCGAATCCGTTTGCACAAGGGAGGACGAACTATATTTATTTTTTTCATTGAAAAAATCTTATCTCTGTACAAGTTGAAGCAAGCAAATCGCGGTGCTTTCTTTATTTGGCGACGAATGAAAGTAGCACAAACAGAAAAGAAAGCACCACGAATTGAAAGGAAATAAACAAGCAAACCTACATATGAGCAGCGTGGTATCCAGAGTGCTGTTGTTGGTATGCCGTTGCCTCCCCAGATCTTCTACCACCCTCTTGTTGAACGCGGGTCTTGTGGTGTGCGCCTGCTACGCTATCTTGAAAGCTCGAGCCGCAGTAGCACTTGTGGCGATCATCGATGTCAAATTTGTCGCCAAGTCCGCCTGTCGCGAGAAACTTGCAAAGCGTTCGAATGCATTCGCACTTAGGAAAAGCTCGTTCTATAATTTTATTCGTGTCAAAAAAAAAATCGTCCGTCGTCAGGTCCACTTCAAAGCAGCAGCACTGCACTCACTCATATGAAATCTTCTTTGCGTTGCAGGCAACAACAACGAAAATTCAACGCACTATACGAAACACGAGGATCCGCACCAACAGCACATTTGCGGAGAGAGAAAGAGAGCCCTCGGCTGTATCCTTCGTTGTCCGTGGACTAATATCTAACAGCCATAGGAAGCGGACTCGGCGGCCTGCGGGCCCTTACTGAAGTGTGGGGCCTCTTGGACGCCGGCCCCTCTCTTGTTTCCCTCTCCGTTCTCGCCGCTCCGACGAGGCAGCTCCCACTCTTACCCCCCACTTGTACACCACTAACTCGCCAAAAACTTTCGTGAGACAGCCACACTATCGTCTCTATGTAATATTACAGCTTAAGTCACCCTTTTAACTGTGAATTTATTTGTTAATTACGGGATAGAAGTCTTGACAGTTTGTGCTCGTAAATCATCGAGTAAATGAGAATTCCTTATACCTGTATGAATCGATTGACCTGGCAAATAACTTTTCAATGTAGAATAGCCACTGGGCTACGGTCAGGTATACAACTTAACATTGTTTTATAAATCTTCGACGCTTTGAAAATTATCCGGAAATTACCCCTAATCCAATAAATAAACA